GCTCAAAATTGTAGTCCAAACAAACGTTTATAAAAGACAGAGACTCTACTGACGTTGTAGAGAGAGTTAGTCAGGAACAAGGCCAATTGATTTCAGGCATATTAAAGTCGCCCATTAAAACTAAAGGACATCAGCTGGCTTCCTAAAGTGCTCATGCATCATACAAAATGTTGGCTGCAGACATACAAGCATGTAGGAAGCATAACACGCTTCCTGGATGCTTGGAACATGTATCTGTTCCCAATGGGGCAGGCAAGAAAGACTCCTTAGCGCAGTCTGAACGCGGCTCACGAGATGACCCAGGTAGCAGATACGCGTTAAAACGACGTTGAAAGATCGTCGATGACGTCAGGAACCACATGTCGAAAGAACGTCGAAAGTCTGAACGTCATGTCCCTTCGCCGTAATATGAAAAGGCTAATGAATGGAAAAAAGCGTTGATTTTACGTCGCCATAACGTCCCACTTAACGACCTTAGAACGTCGAGTGCACGTCTGAATTGGACGGGAAGTCAAGTGGTAACGTTATATCAACATTGACACCATGCCCCATTTAACGACCATAAAACGTGGAGTATACGTCTGGACTGAACGGAATGTCAATTGAGAACGTCATATTAACGATATCATAACGTCCCATTTAACGACATAAAATGTCGAGCGCACGTCTGTGATAACGTTATGTCAACGTCGTAATAACGTAATAAAAAAGCGCAATAATGAGCGGCCTTTAAAATGTCTGGTGCTCTCAAGACACCTATCATCCAAACTCCTGGCTTCATGTAAAAAAAAAAAAAAAAGTTTTTTTTTTCAATTATGTGACACTTCAAAAGCACTTTCTTTATCACAACATTGACCCCTCGTTATGACTCTACAAAGAGCCGTCACGTGATGATGATGAGTGATGACTCGAGGTCAACCGCGCAAGGATTAAACTCACGTGAGGCTCACTTCTAACCAGCATCCCAAACTACCTAGTTATTGGTCAGAGCCTAGCACCTCTAGTTAGGCAGCAAAACAGGCAAGGGTCGAAAGCCTTTCACTTGAAGAGACCATCCGGTGGTCCCGTTCGCTACAAGAAAAAAAAAAAAAAAGATAACTGGTTCCTTTCAATAACCTCACACCTTTTCAAAGGATAATTTTCACACTGGTGCACAATGAAATTCCTATTGAGTGATGTTCTTCAAGCAATAGGGCACCCTATTTTTCGAAAACCAGTGGCTTCGCTGTGTTTTTATAGGAGTTAAACATCTTTCTCTTTTTACTTTTTCTTCAAATGAGTTATCTCTTTGCAAATTCTATAAAAGAAATGCCCTTCTAGTGGGCCACGTCGTACAAAATCGTAGCGCGATAGGTTAAGAAACCGATTTTTGCTGTCTATTTAAAGAGCCTGCTTACTATTTGAGACATCCTGTATATACAGACAGTCCCACCTGGTAGTCAGCCTAGGAACCGCTCAGATTCTTATATACAAACCGAAACTAAGTTACAACAACGAGTTTAGTGGAACAGCTAAAGATATAGTTTATTTGACATAAAGTTTATTTTACGTAGAGATTGCGTGCAGTGAGAAAGGCAAGAGCACAAAAGTGTGTCAATGAAGGGCTGTGAGTCATACTGGGACGGGACGTTCCGTAGTCTTTTCGAGTTTTTTGAGTGGGACTTTGAATCCGATCGGGTGCATCCTCTTTGGCCGTCGATTATCTGCTGGGTGAAGCTCTGCTCTGTCTTCGTCGCCTCGATGAGCCCTTACGAATCAGGATGTTAAAACCCCAGCGACGACTGGATACTCCCATGTCATGCTTGAACGCTGTTGCTGGTGTAAAGCCGGGGTCACACTGGTCATACTTCATACAAAGGACAGTCTGCAAACAGGACTCACCGCAATATCCGTGGTTCGAATGCCCCCTGGAGAGTTTCTCCTTGAAATCATTGCCATGCGGCATCGGGATCACGGATCTCGCGGCGACTCGCGTTCGATTCTGTACGCAGACTGTCTTTTGTATGATACATCAGCCGTGTGAACCCGGCTTTAGGAAGCTCGTCTACAACGCGCTCATGGCAGCTCCAGAGCAACGGGGGAAATGGCGGCTCCTGCCAGGGGCGGTTTCTTTCGAAGGGTACGCCAATGTACTACCGGGGAAAAATGAAATGCGAACAGAGGAGCGCCTGGCTCGCGGTACAGGCTGCGCCACCTGGAAGTGAGCCTAGGGGCGAGGCTGCGTGGCCTACTCCGATGTGTTCACGCCCCTCGCTCAGCGCTCCCCAAGCTTCGGCAGCTCGCCTCTCAGTACGCTGCAAGCATCACCGCTATCTTTGCTGGCTCAGCGCGTGCGGTGCGAAGAAGCTCGCCGCACTCGCCGAGCGAGCAAAGATAGCGGCGACAGCTTTCAGCGCACTGAGAGGCGCACTGCCGAAGCTGGGGGAGAGCCAATCGAGGGGCGTGAACACATTGAAGTAGGCCACGCACCCTCGCTCCTAGGCTCACTTCCAGGCGGCGCAGCCTGTACCGCGAGCCACGCGCTCCTCTGTTCGCGTTTCATTTTTCCCCGATAGTACGTGCACTCGAAGTACTTAAACACCGATGACGTGCTGTCATTCTGGTTGCTGGCATGGTCCTGGATGTCTCCAAATCCTGCGGAAATCGAGCATTAGTTTTAACGCGACAGCGTTTAGGAGCTCGTGTCGGAGAAAATCCAACTTCGGCGTCGTCGTCGGTGAGACCAAACAATTTCGCCATGCACCTTGTGACGTCACACGTGACGTCACGGGGACGTCACAAGGATTAAAATTTCCGGCTAAATTTACCGAAAAATTTTTCTGCCAAAATTAGCGGAAATTTTTCTCATGAATTTAGCGGGACGATTTTCCTCTAAATTTAGCTGGTCGATAGGGTCATGACGTCACGTATGACGTCACATGCGACGTCACGCCACGCGATCTCACGCGGGAATTTCAAACAGCCCAAAACGCTCACGTGTGACGTCACGTGACTCGTGACGATACCGACTAGACCACACACACACACACACGCTTGCACGCCTAGGGAACGAGCGCGGGTTTATAGGAAAAGGCTTTGCGAACGGGACCTAATAGCGTTATCGCGCTCTACTCTTAAAGGCGAAGCTTAAGCGTCTCCCAAGTTTTATACATTCCACCGAATGAAAAGTGGCTTTACGAAAAGTTAAAACTGGGTAATAAAATATAACGTCGCCGGTACTAATAGGAACTTTTCGCAAAGCGTCACCGTGTTCCGCGAACCGCACTATCGGAGTCTTTGAAGCGTGCTTTTAAAGGGTACTAAACCGAAATTCGGAGCTCACAAAACAAGGCTAGACGGATAGGCCGGACGCCGCAAAACCCAAAAACATCTCTCGGGGAGCAATATCTCTAACGGATGGCCGTATTTTTGGTAATAAAATGCTCGATTGTACAAGGTCGACGAGGCCGACGACACATGGGACGTCACGATTGTCATTTACCTTCCCCTTCGCTTCGTCTCCTCGAGCTGGTGAAGCGGAGCGAGGAGGAGAAAACCGGGGCCGCTTCCCCGCATCCTCCACTGTTCCAGGAGGATCGTGACGTCATATTCCTCGATTGATCGTGGCCTTTTTTTCCATAAATACTGCCGATCGCTTGGGATATCGATGCATGAATGACGTTTTAGCGTTCGTAGAGTCCCGTTCAACGCTTCTGTGACCTTATTTTGCGCAGTCCAAATTTCGGTTCAGTATCCTTCTAAGCGCGCGCACGGGTCAAAGGCTCCGGAAGTGCGGTGCGCGGAACACGGTGAGGGTTTGCTAAAAGTCGCCAATATAAAGTCCTATTTCCGTAGATAATAAAATATAACGGCGATTCCCATGTTCTGCTGAACACGTTAGGAACAAGTACCTTTATTAGGCGAGCGTTCACGCAACAAGAGAGTTGTTCCATCGCAAAATGTGAGATTTATGATTGTGGGCCGGATGTGGTAACAAATTCTGCTCTTGTAATTTGGACGCGATTATCGAAATCGCCATTCGCGATGAGAAGCTCCCGAGGGGCGCTGCTGAAAACGAAAACATAACCACGTGGGTAGCAGGTGCTCATCTGCTGCCCACGCCGTTATGTTTTCATTTTCATTGCGTATAAAAACTTGGAATATACCTATTGCTTCATTACCCAAGCATCAAGGAGAAAGCAGGGATTGGTGTTCCACGCGCCGCACGGGCTTGCCTCAGCCAGTAGTAGCTTTTCTAAAACAAATACCTAAAACAAATGGCATCTTGCACGCGCGTTCGTCAACGCTTTATTTCCGTTATTTACTTCGAATCTTTTATACAGGGAAGCCGTGCCCGTGTGGCGCGTGGAACACCAATCCCTGCATTCTCCTTGATGCTCGGGTATAATAGCAAATTGTCTATTGTACTATTGATTGTACGCGCTTGCAGCAGCAGAGGAAGTTGAAGCCTCTTCACTCTTGGTTGTGAAAAAACTCCACCAGGCGGCGATAACCAAACTTCTCGCCGCGAATTTCCGCACGTCTCCCCGTGTGCATTTTGTCTGCGTGTATATCAATAAACCGATCTCACCAAGCGTTCGGCGCATGCGTGAAGCCGACATACTTTTGTTCACAATAGGGGGCATTCACTGGACGCCATATTTGAGGGCGATGTTTAGGGCGCATGCTGAGAACGAGCTTACATTATTAGCCAGCTAAGACCGGCAATCTTGATGGTGTAAAATGCACGTTGCAAAAGAACTGTGAAAGCTCGCCTTCAGCACGGGCTCAGCCACCACGCACACAGATATGGCCGCCAGTGAATGCTCCCTATAGGCAGGTGGCAGTGCTTGAGGTGGCTCGTGCCGTCTCTTGCTCTGCACACGCAGAACTTCAGCGAGGTTGGGACACGTGCAGAAAGACTAAAATTACCTCGATGCATTGTTGCCGCAGTGGCATAGCCAAACCGGTTAGATCGGTCTATTAGGGCTTAAAAAGTATGGTTCTTCTCAGGCGGCAACATGAGTCGAGTGCTGCTGGAGACTACCGTACCTATCCTAGCACACGAGGATTGCGCCAAATCCTACCAGGGGCTACTGGACATCGACGAAAACCACCTGTGTGCAGGCACCAGTGCGGGAGACAGAGACGCTTGCAAGGTCCGTGAATCGATTTAGTTTTGTTCGACGGTTTCATGACACAATATACAAGTGGATTCGGATTTTAAGAATACCACGATATCAGTTTGCACTCTTACATTGCTAACTTTAAACTGTTCAGTGAGTCAAACGAGACTTGCGCGCAAGAGTAGAAATACAAAAGCCTATTTTTCGGTATGACACTTAAAGAATAAAAAAGGGGTATTTCTTTTAAAAAATGACCCTTTTTTTTAGTTTCGCTTTTAGTTTCGTTTTTAGAGTACCGGTTCGTGCATAGCTCGTATTTTTAGTGGTGTATATTTAGCGCACTATGATACAGTACTTTGTGACTGCGATTCTTGCCGGAAGTTGGTGACAAGAAATACGGTACGCCCGTCCTGGAACTCGGTTACGTCTCTTGTAATCCCAATTCCTCGTCCAAAGAGTACTTGGATGCCTCCTTCCAACAGTGCTACATCAAAGGTGGCTTCTTCGGTCCCGATGGGCACAAAAACATTCGACAGCGGCGGCGAGTTTACTGGCTGGTAAGGACTCGCACTGCAGCTAACGTCGTTTGGGGATCTTCCGCCAATTGAAAAGGTTTCCGAAGCGTCAGCTTATTCTCCGCAAGGTCGATGATGGCGCCGTATTCACACACGAAGTCCATTCTGAGAATGACGTCCCTCGAACAGTCTTGCAGAACGGCGAACTCCACAGGGCAGGTTTCACCGTGAATCTCAACACGAGCAGTGCACCTGCCGACAGGTGTGATGAGATGTCCGCCGGCGGTTCGTATCTGCGGTCCGTCCCACGAAGTCGTAACTTTTCGAAGGCGACAAGAGAGTCTTCCACTCAAAATGGAGTAGTCTGCTTAGGTGTCGACGAGTGCCGTCGCGTCGTGGCCGTCGATGATAACTTTGAGGTTATTCGGCACTGTCGCAGAAACGTCGTTTTGTTTGCAGCGTTAAAGTGGGAGGGCTCCGACGGTTTTGGAGGATCTTGGCATCGTTCGTCTTCGGCAACACCACTTCCCAGCATTGCCGCGCCTAGTTTTCCCGATGGGAAGCGATGCGTGACAGGCGGTCTCGGCGACACCGGCGGAAGGGCAATGGCGAGCGCCGGTGACACGGCGAACGAAATCCTCGGCGGAGAGACGCCTCAGGAGATGAAGAGCGGCGGAGGTAGTCCTCGATGTCCCGAGGTCGCTCTCCAAGACGTAATCGACGGTCGTTGGGTGCAAACCCTCGTAGGCCCGGCTAGCGGTAGGGGCATCGTCGGCAGATGTGGTCCACTTCACCGCAGTGGTAGCACAGCGGGCGTCGATCGGCCGTTTGCCACACGTCGGTCTTCCTTGGCGCCGGTTGTTCTTGCTGGACGTACTGAGGTCCATCTTCGAGACGTCGGGGGTACGGCTGTGCTGGTGCGTCCCGTCGTCGTGGCGCAGGAGGTTGATGGGCAGCAGATTGCGGTCGACGGGTCATGGAGGCATAGTTCACCGTCGGTTGTTTCGGTAATGGCAGGTCGATGGGAGCCTTCGGCTGGAAGGCTCGCTGCACCTCCTCTCGCACTACTTCGGTCATGGAGAGCGTGGCAGGGCAATCGGCAGTTGACAGCACCTTCCTGATCTCCTCCCGAACGACGTCGCGGATGACGACAGGGAACGCTCGATGTTAGTTGCTTCGGCAGCAAATTTCATCGACAGTAGTTGGTGGGTTGCGAACAAGATTGCCGAAGATGTCGCTCTTCACGCCTCTTATCAGGATACGCAGCTTTTTTTCGTGGGTGGCCTGTGGGTCGGCGCGGCTGCTCAGGCGGAGGACGTCTTCAACGAAGCTGGTGACTGTTTCGTTGGGGCCATGCGTCCTTAAGGCCCGTTCACACTCTTGCGACTGCTTGCGACCTCTTAAACCCGGGTTCCTTAAAACTTCTTAAGCCAGAGAACACACTGGCGCCATCTATTGGGAAGCAGTGTAAACTCGGCGGTCCGGCATATTTTTTTTTATTTCTCGCGCAATATCCTTTCTTTTTTGGCTCGAAACACTTTTGTCAATGTTATAAACGAGCCTTTCTATGGGTATTACGCACATTTGACCTCGGAAATCCCGCAAAACCTTCGCTTTTGTGAAATGCAGTTCTAGGGTCACCGCATAGATGGCGCCACAATGTCAGTTTGTCCCCTCATTCTAGAAACATTTAAGAAGTTGTAAGAGATCTCGTCTCTCTCAGTCGTACTCGGTCGCAAGAGTGTGAACGGGCCTTTACTTGCAAGAGTTCTTCCGCTTGTTGTCGTCGGTGCTGGCTCGCGAAAGTCCCCTTGAGCTCGGCGTTGCAGGTATCCCAGGTATCACCGCTATCGTAGCACTACCGACGTGTGCGGCGCGGGGAAACTCGCCGCCAGTAGCAGCACTGGGCGCACGCTCTAGCTTCTACTAGCGGCGAGCTTCCTCTCGCCGCACGTGTCGCGCGAGCAATGATAGCGGTGATAGCTTTCAGCGCACCAAGGGGCGCAGTGCCGAAGCTTGGAAAGCGCCCAGCGAAGGGCGTATAGACGCTTTGCAGCAGTTGTGCATGGGCGCCGCCATAACCGACCTTCGGTTTCTGTTTCCTCTTATTCCGTTCGCTTCACTTCATTATTGCCACAGCCGGACAGGTTAGTGCCACTCTAGGTGCTACTGCCTCCTTCTCCACAGCATAGGCCTTTATGGAGGCTCGTCAACACCCGCTTCAGTGGCTCGGCATCTCAGTAAAACAAAAGGGGGTCGGCCATGGCGGCAAATCTGGCGCGTGTTTAAAGCGTCTATAAACATTGGAGTAGGGCACACGCACTCGCCCCTAAGCTCACTTCCAGACGGCGCAGCCTGTACCGCGAGCCACGCGCTCCTCAGTTCGTATTTTATTTTTCCCCGATAGTACGTTTCTACTCTTCGAGTGCCGGACGAGGTGTCGGTTTCCGATCACATATTTCCTCCCACTCTGTCTCGAAAGCGCGCCCAAATACTCTGCAAGAGGAATACAGGACACTCTCCTCATTTGCACGAGACCAAACGACGGCCGCGCCATAAACCACCCCTGGTGGAGAGGTGTATATGGCGATGCCTCTCTCCCCCTTCCTCTCGTCGCCAGAACACATGAAGGAAACGCCTCGGAATGCAGTGCGGTGGACGGGGTCGAGGATGCGAAAACGGTTCCGCTGCCGCAGTCACGCCTGTTTCCGCACATCTTCGTTATCGACTTTTTCTATGCATTCTCGGGGTGTGTCCTGTATTCCCCTAGTAAAGCATCTGGCGCGCCAGTGATAATATAGACTTCCTTTCTTCAGAGCACTCTGAAAGCACTGCAAGCCCGTTGTCACGTGATCTTTTGTTTCTTTCATATTTCCGTTTTTTTTTATATAATAAAAAGGAGCACTCAAAGCGTATCGTGTAGCAAACAACTTATTTTGATATTTCTTAACGCGCTCTACAAATTTCCAATTCACGCATACGCCCCTAAACGAATAATTAAAAAGTTAGCTTATTTATGTTAATTCATTAAATAACTAGGCGCACTAAAAAAAATAGTGTAATTTTCCAAGACGCCCGCTAACAACATAGAGTTGGTTTCACTCCCGCAGAGCGCTCTGTTCTAGTCAAAGGTTGGTACAAGTTATCTCAGACACCTTGCATGTTATATTTACTGTAGCGATACTTACTTTGTAACTAAAAGTATTCGCCAAATATTCTGCAAAAGTAGGACGCTCTTACTTAATAACAGGTTTATCCATGTCGAGAACCTCCCTCGATAATCACTGTTGACCGACGCAAGTGAAACCACGCAGGGAGACTCCGGGGGTCCGCTGATGCTCCCAGACGAAGACCAGAGGTTCTCTGTGATCGGAGTCACTTCCTTCGGGGTCCAGTGCGGAGACTCGGACTTCCCCGGAGTGTACACCAGGGTCAGCCGTTACCTGAAATGGATTACTTCTAAACTAGAAACACTGGGTGCCTCGTAGTGCTGTTTCCAACGAGCACCGCTTACTGTCAGGCCAAGCAACGCTGCAAGTCATGACAAGCCGCACGTGAATAAAACACCGCGACAAGGGACATTTTAAAAAGGGTGTAGTGGTTACACCCACCGGAGTGTAACGGGATTGTCCCATATAATGCACCCCAAATGACACCCGTACTAGTGGTGTATGCATACACCCATTTAGTGGTGCACATATGCTCTTTTCCCTACACCCCTAGGCGTTATACACATCATTCATGGGTGTATTAATATTCTTTCTTACGCCATCTCCACTTATTGCGAGTACAGATACACCCTATTCTAGGGTGCACAAATATTCTCTTCCCGACACCCTCACCACCTTGTGGGAGGGCATGCACACTACATTCATGGGTGTACAAATGTTCCGTTTCTTACACTATCGTTACTTATTGGGAGTACAGATACACCCTATTCTAATGTGCACAAATGTTCCCCTCCTTCCAATCTCATACGAGTACGTGCATGCTCCATTCATGGGTGTTCTATTGTTCCCTTTCTTCTACCATGATCACTTATCGGGAATATTGATACACCCCAATTTCGGGTCCATATATATTCCCCTCCTTACACCCTCACCATCTTATGGGAGTACATGCACACTCGATTCACGGGTGTACTATTGTTCCCTTTCGTACACCATGACCAATAATCGAGAATACCGGTACACCCCATTCTACACTGTTAGCGAAAATTTAATATTCACCCTGTTTACACCCCATTTTCACTCCTTAGCATGTTCTTACACGCTCTGCTAGTGATAAATCGTCATACAATTACTTGGGGTAGTAAAAATTGGTGTTTCAGTTTCGGTTTACACGACTAGGCGTGTAAGCAACACTGAAAACACCCCAGGCCAACACCCCAACGCTGCCCCAAAACGTCGAGCGCCATGTTGCTTTTGCCTCGAAGCGGTACGGCGGTCTTAGGAGTCAAAGGTGAGTGTTTGATTTTTTTTTTTCAAGTTTGTATAGAACGTAGCACGTCTCAAATTTTTATTCCGTGCTGTTCAAGGACGTCAGATTTGCTTTGAGCAAGCTGGCTCAGGTCTCTATCGTGTATCACGCAATATCGTTAGGCCCGATTCACGCAGCCGGCGTTCAGCCACCCCGACGATTGGAAACGACTTGACTGCTTGCCGGTTCTTTTGCGCGAGCTTTCGCTCGGGCGCTGAGAACCGTACAAACTGTGGTGCGCAAAGCTAGCACAATTAGGCACGGCAATCGTCCCGCTGGAAGATGCAGAGAGCGGAAACCGAAGACACCGTCGCATGAAAGTGACGAAGCCGCTATCCTGCGCTGATCGTTGTCCCGCCGCTCTCACCGGCACTATCGACACTTCGCTGCTGGGTGTCTCGTATTCCGACGTTGTAGAGAAACTTAAGCGCGAGGAGTCTCTATATTGTTTTCTGGCTTCCACCTGCGTGGAGGAAACACGATGGCAATAAAAACATACGCTGTCAGTCAGTCAACTTGGACAATCCCCCTATTGTCTCTCCATCCTATTGCATTCTTTCACTGCGTTTGTGGCAACAACGTTTCCCCAGTGTGAAAGCTTTCAGTCACAACGGGCTACAAACTGTGTTGTGCATTGCATGCAGCCCTGAGGGAATTCTTCACCGGAGACACCAGCACATTAGTTTTATTGGTAAGGTGACCGGCCACTAACGTGTTTGGCAAATGAAGCGATCACGGGTAAGTAGAAATGCAAACAATGTTGAATTAATATTAAGGTGGTTGTAGCCAGAGCCTGCCAGTTGAAATTTTTAAACAGCAAGCTTTAACAGTATAGTCTGCGGTAACTTCTTTTTGCACTTGGGATTGCAATTTTAAACACAAAGCCACTCCACAAAGCTGTCGAAAATCGTGTGAACAACAGCAGTCATCGTCCCCGGTTCGGTTGAGCGAAGCCTTAGCTTGATGAAAAGAATGGTGGTCTATACTTGGTTGTTTCAATCACAACCTCGCACAGCTGAACACACAAACAAATCGGGGAAATATATCCTTCACTGGCTTGCAAATCGTAGCACACAAGCAGGGTACATAGCAGAGCAGAAAACACTGGCAATGAGCACACGGAGGCATGCAACTTCCTTTCTTTTTTCCCTCGGCATATGATTGGTTTGCTGCAGCATTCCGTAAGCACGTCGACACTCGAAAGTTGAGCCTGATCTGTCTTGCAGTGCCTTGCGAAACGGCAAGTATCGCCCACCTTTCCGCAAGGCACTGCAGGGCTCGCAAATGTGTGAACAGTGCTTTGCAATGAAGGCCATGATCGGGCAGCAGGTGCCCATCTAAAGACATTTAATATTGATTGGCATTGAACTAAGCTTTGGGCTTCATCCCGTAGTAAGCATGGGTGAGGTGTAATTCAAAAAAATTTGATGTCCGACGAGTTTAATACTTTGTGGTGCTTTCCCATCTGTTTCGGTGTCACGGAGTGGGGTCAAATTAATAAAAATAAATCAATGATCCACTCTGAGGATAAACGAGAAATTACGGGAAAAGAGCAAAAGAGCTAAGTTCGACCAGTGACTAGCGCTAGGTCCACACCTGGTGTATAATCAGTAGAGAAAGACAATGACACAGGGAGGATAAGCAAACAAAAGATTAGATTTAATAAAGTGAAAAACTAAGCTGTACACAGCAATAGAGCACTCAGCAGAAACCACACTCCAGCTCAACGCTATGGAGCCCAGCGAGCCAGAAACTAATACTAAAAAGACTCGACGCTCATAAAACAGGAACAAGCCAACAAAACAGTGACGAAAACCCGAAACTAACTAACAACGAGAGCAAACCGAGATGGAACTCGAATGTTGCCGTTACACACATGGGATAATCCCCCAAAACAGTCGTGACAGAAAGTAACACTGCGTAAAAATCTTCCCAACGTTCAACAGTTCGTACTTCAGAGCCAGAGGATGAAGTATACAAGTCGTAGAAAACCAGGCTTAGCTTTCCGGTAGGTGCTGAGTCCAGAGCAGTCCGTAGTCTGGAGTTGTCGGCCGAAGAACGACGTCTCGGAGTCCGGCGGTCCGGTTAGAAGCTTGATGAGGTCGACACCGCGCACGACACAGCCACGCGCGCTTCAGCACAACAAACTCGAACACTTGCCCGACAGACAGGGCAGAAGCCAAAAATTACACATTCCAAGACTCATCTGCAGGGAGTAACCGCGTCGAGCAGCGACCCGGCCAGCTCCGGGGTTCGACTACCTCCTTTGTTCCCGAACCCCCTTTTATAGGCTCGTCTACCGACCAACCTCCCGTTTCCCCGCCTTTCGGGTCAGTCAACCTTCAAGAAAAACAAAGCTACACAGCATCGACCCAAATGGCAAAACCTATTACATGTTTTCGACAACCAAACATGTGTGCCCATCCATTCCCCCGTACGAGTCCAAAAACATCAATTATCGCCAATACGTAGAACACGACAGGCGGCAGACTGAGGGAAGCCGCCGCCTTCAAAGAGCACGCTAGCCTTCGTAAACATCTTTGTATCCCAGCGGCGCCTCTGCATGTCAAATCGGCACCATATGCGAGCCAGCATACGCACCCCTCCGTCCGCGAGGTCAAAGCCACAAACTGTGACTTGGGATGATCTACGCCGCCCGTCAACAAAAAACCATTCCGCAAACGAGCAAATCCGTTAGGGACTTAGAAAGGAACTACGACGGGACGAACTGAGATTGAAAACGGCACCGCACTCCCCCTTCCTGACCGTACCGACTCTTAAAGTGGTCCAAGAAAAAGATCATAAAAGTATTTTTAAAAAAAATAAAGAGAAGCCTGAATTTGTGACACTCGGTTTCTCCATTCTGTGTTTATTTTGTGTTTTTTCTATCACGAAGCAAGACATTATTCCGGCCGGCCGTAGGCACCAGATGTCATTCCCGTCTGCGATCAAAAGATTGGGATGAGGGCGATTCGTCACATGCGCACTCGTCACAGGACGATTGGTCACAGGACGATTCGTCACATAGGAAAATTCGTCACAGGATGACTCGTCATGCGGGCAACTGGTCACATCGATCGGGCAGGGGACGATAGTAAGTCGCAAATTTCAGCAACTGTCCACATTCCCTGATGAAGAGTTTCACGACCTCCCACTGTCACATAAACCAATGGTTAGGAAAACTAATCTTACAATATTCCTCCGCTTTTCCTTTCATTATATTACGAGTCTTCAGCAGGTTGATATCAGTTGCTGGCTTGAACGAGCAATAATCCGACTGGCAACCAAATCAGTTTTCACTTTTGCCTTGCATACCGATTCGACAAAATCAATAAGTATCGAAATTCTTTCTGCTGAATGTATACGAGTACCCCTCCTGCAGCATCATGGCTCGACCTCTCTCTGTTGCGATCAACTCCATTATTTTGAATGTAGTCCGAGTTCAAAAATAGACGCTCTTGTATGGCCTCCGCATTCACCATTCGGGACGGACCCAGAAGCTAAAACGTCTGTTACAAATTCTTTGACCTTGAGAAGCGGAAGACATACTAATATAAGAGGTGACCCACTTTGTGAGGCCGAACCCACATTCAATGTTCGGGACCAAACCAGAAGCTAAAGCGTTTGTTACAAATGCTTCGCCTTCGAGAAGCCAAGCACATACTAAGATATGAGGTGAGCCACTTTGTCCGCCCGAACCAATTGAACAATACAACTTTGGGGGGGACGAACTATTGTGGGACCGGGTGGCCGCGTGACAAGTCATCCTATGACGAATGTTCCTGCGTGACGAATCGCCCTGTTACCAATCGTCCTGTGGCGAGTGTGCATGTGACGAATGGACCGTCTCCCAAAAAGATTATAGGATCCTAACTGCCGGCAGCTAAGTGTCAATTACATCCGGCTTGTGCATACAGTGCAACATCTTTTGCTATTTAACCGGTCATCACTTTACAGCCTTCTGCTCTTGTAAACGACAGTAGTGCTACATGTTAAACGGCTCTAAAGC